TTAAAATTTTAATTTATTTTGAAAATTGAAATTTCAATGTGTTATTGTAAGTTTAGTTGTTGTTACATGATTAATTATATTTTTTTAAAATTTTATTATAATATTATATATTTACACATATTTTTAAACATTGAAAATGAGGCTTAAATTCAATACTTTTAAGTTTATATGAGAAGTTTTATATGAAAAATCTCTAATAAAAAATAGTAATTATTAGGTCATTAGGTTATAATTATAAATTTATAATTATATATAATATTATAATTATATTTGTATAAAAAAATAATTTTAAAGGAAAATTGGTTTTTTTAAAGATAAAAATAATCATTATGCTTTGAGATTGTAGATTACAACAATATTGTTGCAAAGGGGGATAACTTTTCTCTTTTTGCAAATATATCCCAAGGCATATATACTTTTAGTGTTTGTAATTCCAAACTCCAAAGTCCAAAACTTCCCATTGCGGACAAAAATATCTCAGGAAAATCTAGTCGGCGGAATTTTACAACTTAATAAGGAAGAAAATTCAAAAAAACTCGCACGTGATTCCCACGTGTCATCATTCCCTTCCTTCCTTGGATTGGAGGAACTCCGTCAGAAAAGATGAAACAGACCAAAGTGAAGCAAACTCCCCCCCCGCACCAAGAAACGCAGCCAAACAGCCACCATCCTGAGCCTCTCTCCCTCCCTTCATGGCGGTCTTTAACCGTTGCCTAAGAACCAGAGTGCTGGCGGCGGTAACACCAACGACGGCGTTTGCTTACGTAATTCGGACGCTCTCCGCTTCGTGTTTGAGGATGAATCTCGGAGGTGATCTCAAATCGGCTTCTGTGCTGGGGCAGAATCCGCTCCATCTAAAGAGGGAGCTCAGTGGCAGGAATGTCCAATGGGTGTTCTTGGGATGCCCCGGAGTTGGCAAAGGCACATACGCTTCTCGCCTGTCGAACCTCCTCGGTGTACCTCACATCGCCACCGGCGATCTCGTTCGCGATGAGCTCTCTTCCTCCGGTCCTCTCGCCTCTCAGGTCCTCTTTAATTTAGGGTTTCGATTTTCCTCTCAAATTTGGATTTCTGTATACCAATTCTCAGTATTTCCTTCTAATTGATTTGATTCCAAACTTTGTTGGTGAATTCGGACTTCGGATTACTGTTTTCTATGTGACATTTGGTTTTTTGATGCTTCATTCTGCAAGTACTGAGCTTGACAGCAAATTGTAGCATGTTTTTTTTTTCCGATATTTTCTTATTCATCATTGTCTTTATACTTTGCAGCTCAAGGATATTGTAAACCAGGGCAAATTGGTTTCAGATGAAATCATAATCAATTTATTATCCAAACGTCTAGAAGCAGGAGAAGCTAAGGGTGAATCTGGGTTCATTCTTGACGGATTTCCTCGAACAATAAGACAGGCGGTGAGCACTCCATTGATCCTTGTCTGGGATATGCTTAATTATAATGGAAACAACTCCTTTATTGTTCTCAACAGGGAGGAAAGTGACAATGTTGCTTATTTGCTTTTTCTCTGGTTTTGTTGGTTTCTAAGTTTGTAAAGTTTGATGTACCTTAGCAGGGGCAAGCGTTGCTTAATTTGTTACCAAGATATGGTAGGGGGTAAGCTGTTCAAAGATATTAGTGGCATGTTTATAATTTACTATATATAGAACTAAAACTTGGTATACTGGTAGCTTCGGGGGAATGAATTGATGTGATAGTTTGGTAAATGATAACAAGTTACTAGAAAAGGCTATGGAGGTGTAGTGCCAAATATTAGTAATTGAGGTTTGTGAAATTGAAACTCTAAACTTCAAGTCCTCATTTTATTTTCTTTATGTTTCAGGAAATATTAGGAGGTGTAACAGATATTGACTTGGTGATTAACTTGAAGCTACGGCAAGAAGCATTGCTTGCAAAATGCCTTGGCCGAAGGATTTGTAGTGAGTGTGGAGGAAATTATAATGTTGCCACTATTGACATCAAGGGTGAGAATGGGAATCCTGGAATGTACATGGCTCCCCTTCTTCCTCCACCTCAATGTGCATCAAAGCTCATCACTCGAGCTGATGATAAATTGGAAGTTGTGAAGGAACGGCTCCGTATTTACAATGAGATGGTATGTATCTTTATAAATAAACTTTGATTATGAGATTCTATTCATTTTTACATATATTCATTATTAAGTATCTAATTATAAATTTATAAAATTTTATGGTGAGGTGGCGCACAGCTGCTGTTGAGGTTTGTTATGTACTTGGCCACTGAGGATGGCTTGCATCTATATCCTTCTAGGAACTTTGACTTAGCATTGGTCCACATTATTCGATTACTAAACTTTATAAATCTTAAATTTTTGGTTTGATGATTTATTCGTTTGTTCAAGCACAGTTTATGTCTACTTCTTTCTTTGGCTTTTGTTCTGCTTTTGGCCATTGATGTGTTTGTTTTCATAAATACATTTCCTTAGAATCCTTGAATCTGTCACCAGCCAATAGCCATATCCACATGTGGTGCACTTGTTTGGCACTAGTCTTTTAATTCATAAGTATTATGCTTGTCTTTGCATCTTCATTGTTGTGGTGCAAAGGAGCCATGGTTTTGAAAGGTGAATTTGAGCATCTTAGCAGTATTGGTCTTATCCTTTCCATGCAGACTCAACCTGTGGAGGAGTTCTATCGCAGCCGTGGGAAGTTGTTAGAGTTTGATCTTCCAGGAGGAATCCCGGAATCCTGGCCAAAGCTGCTTCAGGCCCTTAATCTTGAAGATCATGAAAACAAAAGGTCTGCTGCAGCATGATGCTCTAGAACCCTATAGGCTGTAACATATGGATTATATTTACAACGTAAGTTAGGTCATTCTTTGCACGTGTAAGACGCGCACACATTTATTTTATCCCACAAACACAGGGGACATGCCTAAACTTCTGAACAAGGTAGCTTCCTTCTGCTTCAGACAAAAAGAAAACGTTGCTTTGTGTCGAGTCATATGTAAACGAAAGTGAATATGGGGATATGATGGGAGAGGTGGGGGAACTATGTTATCACTGGTGGAAATTGATTTTCTTGGTTGTAGATTGCTTACCTCAGTGAATATATCTGTCATTCAATTTAACTGTGTAGTTTATTAATATAACCTACTATGGATCTGGTGAATTCGAAAGTTAAGAAACTAGACTAGAACTCATATGGTAGGGAACAGCAAGGAGGTGCAAGTTTAAGCTTATCACTATGTAATGAATTTTTTGTTATCCTTCATGCCTGTACCTGTGAGCTTTAAGGATTTATGTATCTGGAAAGGAGTAGGATCTGCATACAATCTTGTTTCTGCTTTCCGAGTTGAAAAATTAGTTTTTGACATAGAGAAGGACCAGAAAACAAGGATCACTGTAATTAGCTTACTTAAGGAGAAAAAGGCAATTGTATTTCCAGTGATAGACATTGTGAGGGACTCTGAATCTGTTAAACCCTTTTGTTCAGTTACCAAGTTGATGATAGTGAATTATGCCTTCTACTGTTCTACATGTTTCTGTCTTCACATGGAACCGACATGTTAAGCTGTGTGGTACGACCTTAATTAGAGCATTGCACGCACCGTTTCTCTTCTATCTTTTGCTTCTTAATAGGATATATGATATTGGTTGTCAAAAATTTTTAAATAATAAAAATGAATAGTTTTTCTAATCTATGTCCTTAGCGCATTGGTTAATGGTGTAATTATTGTATTTTTTATATTAATTAATATTGAGAAAATAAAAGTTGGCCTTTGTTGAAGCAATTGTTTAGTTAAAATAATTTACGTGGCATTAATGATAAAATTAATGATAAGTTTTGTATTTTTTAATACTAATTAATATGAAAATGATGCAACAATGTTACCGACTGGGTTGTAAAGCCTTTTTAAAAAAGAATGGAACAGTACTTGAAATTGCATTATATTGGTAATGATATATATCTAAATACAACAACTGCAACCAATTAGGAATTTAGGAGGACAATGAGACCAGTATGGTGGACATTGGCCCTTTAGTGCAAATTTTGCCACCCAATTAACGGCTAAAACCAACTTTGAACCCTTCATCTTATAAAATTGGTAAGTTTTAACCCTTAACCTTATAATATGACATTTTTAGCCCTTAACCTTATAAAGTTGATAGGTTTTAGTCTCTTACCTTATATTATGACATTTTTAACCCTTTAGCTGTATGAATTGAAGAAAATAGTCCTTATTTAACATCAAGTTATAATATTCTATTAGTTATGTTAGTTAACTATCAGTTTTGTTGGTTGACTGTTAGTTCTGTTAGTTGACTGTTAGTTCTGTTAATTGACTGTTAGTTCTGTTAATTGACTATTAACATCCGTTAACATTCTGTTAATAGAACTAACAAATAAAATTGAATTTAAATTTTATGTTTTTTATAACGGAATGTTAACGATGTTAACAGTCAACTAACAAAATTAACAGAACATTATAACCTAATGTTAAAGAAGAACTATTTTCTTTAATTCGTATCAGTAAAGGGCTAAAAATATCATAATATAAGGTAAGGGGTTAAAACCTACTATTTTGTAAGGTGATAGGCTAAAACTTATCAATTTTGTAAGATAAAAGACTAAAATTATAATATTATAAGATTATGAGCTAAAACTTACCAATTTTATAAGGTAAGAGACTCAATGTTGGTTTTTACCCCCAATCAACTACTCTATTTGCTTGTGTAGATAGATACATACAAAAATTGACAAGATTCCAAATTAAAGGAGACTGGTCATATATAGAAAGAATAGTCTATTATTTTGTAATTTGAACTGTACTAGATTATAAAATAAATATTTTTAAATAATTCTTAATATAGGGGATTTGTCTTTTATTTAAAAATTTTTATTATATAATTTAATATAATTTAAATTGTAAAATATGTTTTTTTGTAGAAAAAAATGGATTGTAATTTTTTTTTTTTGAACAAAATATCATGATGGTTTGAACTCATCCTCAAAGAGGAGGGAGGAACCATACCTTAACAAAGTGACTACCTTAACAAAGTGACGAGAGCTATTTGGCTAACGGGTCAGATGTGGATTGTAAAGTTTTTTAGCTTGTAATAGAAAGAAAAAAAAATTGATTTTGAAAGAATTGTATGCCCAACAAAACCATCATTAGTATTTATTTATTTACTTGCATATTTCTTTTGGGTGATTTAATAAATGTTATTATCCTTAGATCATACATTAATTAAATTGATTATGGGGATGATCAAATAAAAGGTTTGATGATCTTAAAATTGTTCACAACCATAAGCATACTTTGGATAATATGCTTAACTTGGTTGTCACATGTTGTACTACCATAAGTGATAGAGTGATAAATTTCAACCACTAGATTTAGACTCTTAGTAACATAGTGAGTATTTGTATAAGACAAATATTGAACTAGACCATATAGAATAATTTTAAGTTATTTACTATCAAATAAAAGATTATTCTATCCACAATTCATAAAAGGTTCTTAGACCTGAAAATGTTATTTAATCTTATGTATAAGTTATTTAGTTTTGATATTGTCAACCGGTGATGCCCAATAAATGGGATATATACGGACATATTGGACTATATAATAAGTACATGAAGATTTATAGTCATCTAATAAGAAACCACCACTATTATCGTAAGAGAAAATATTTAAATTTGTGTCTCTTTTATATTAGATAAAAATCCGTTCAATCAATTTAAATACATATTTTAACTTAGTTTTAAGAAAATTAAATTTTATCAAAACTTTATTTTCTAAATTGTTTTTATTGCCTAAATATATTTAAGAGACACACATACAAAGTTTGGATGACAGTTTTATAAAAATTCTAATTCGATTAGACTTTGTATGGAATTTTAGTTGGTGGAGGACTATTATGTAAATATTGTGATTTGAGGGATCTCACAATTTTATCTATAATTTCTTAGATAAGATTGTTATCTACTGATGGGTTTTTTTATTACAATCCTAAATTGATTTAAATTCAATTTGCTAAGAGATTAAGATCCCAAAAAGGAGTCCCAAGCAACATGCTATTTGGAATTCTAGTCTAACTATACAAGCTCCCTATACATGAGACCTATTGATTTGTCAACAGGGTATCTAAGTTTTTACAAGAAAAACAGAAGCTAGTGGGAGGAGAAGCCATCACTTCTGGAGGAGAAGCAATCACTTTTTTAGGAGATAGAATTGAGGCATCGCGTGTGAACTTTTGGAGAATTTTGCGCGTGTGAAATCTCTGTGAGTTTTTCTAATTTTTATATGAACATATTTGTATCATGGGGACTAATAATTTGTTTATAATTCTTAATTTGATTAAGTGTATTATAAACCCTTAAGATTTGACACCTTTTTGGCGTGGGAATGAGAAGCAGAAAAGTATGTTCTCGTTTGGTTTACTGGAGCATACATGGTGGGCCGGCCAGCTTTTGTGCCACAAGTATTTTCCCATTCTATCTTTCAGCTAAATGGAAGTTATTATAATGTGTGGTAATATTAATTTATAGCTTATATATATATATATATATCTGGAGCTAAATGTCTAGTATTATAAGGGTTCAAATCTTTGATTTTTATTTTAAATTAAAATTTTTAAATAAGTAAGTGCTAACTCTATAAATTATTTAAAGTGAATATGAAAGAAAAAATTTTGTCACATTCGTTAAATATGTATCTCAAATCACTAAAATAATAAAAAAAACTTAGATTTCAATATTTAAATATATCAAAAGCTATGTACTTGACCCTTTTTTTTGGAAAAAAAATGAGGAACCATGACCGTGTGCACGATTCTTCTACCACAGAAAGAAAAAATGATCATATCCCTGATTCCTTCACGTGAACCATATATTCCATGGTTCATTTAGTTGTAAGGCTCAAAGGAGTAAATTGATGGATAAATCACCCAAATCGGTATGGAGAATGTTGTTTTTCAATGTTTTTTAAGTTCTTAGTGACCCTATTGAAATTGATAGGAGGCAATTCCGAAAAAAAAAAGGAAAACAGAAAAACCCAAAAAAGAAACCGAGAGAAATATCCTAGTACATCATAAAAAGGAAAATTAACATTATGTTTGGTTTAAAGAGAATAAAAGAGAGCGAAATTTTTTTTGATTAATTAAATTGTAATATTTAAAAATATTATAATTTGATTGGTTAAAATTTTTTTTTCTTTAAATTCTTTTCAATCCAAACATATTAGAAAAATATATTTTTAAAAAATATAGTATTAAAAGGTATTTTTGACATTTAAAGCCACACTAACAAAATCTTTTTTGGATAATATAATTGATTACATTTTTAGGAAAAAAAGAAGTAGAGAGATGGTTGACTTACCTATGAGGAATTGAGGACAATCCCAAAATTTTTACGAATGTAGACAAAAGAAATATGGAAATAAAGATAAGAACAACCCACTCTCCAACAACAACAACAACTCAAGAACTAAAACCACAAACGAGGAATAAGATACAAAGACGTATTAAAGATGATAAAAAGGTAAAACACCAAAGGACTGGAACAGTCACAGGCGCCTCACTCACAGGTCGCATTCTTACATTTTTTTTTATGGGATGGGAATCAACTTGAGTGAGTTTCTAACTCTTTTTTTTTTACTGGAATAAGTGGTTTGGCCGGTGAG